TATAAAACAATGACATCTTCAATTTTGCATGCAAATGGATGGAAATAGAAAACACTATTCTGAGTGAGGTAACCCAGACCCTAAAAGATGAATATGGTATGTACTCACTCATTACTGGATTCTAGACATTAATAAAGGACATTGAGCCTATAATTCATTGTCCTAGAGAAGCTAAATAAGAAGGTGAACCAAAAGAAATACATATAGTTATTCTCGTGGTATCTTGTGGGTGGGGGAGTGGTGGGGGTAAGGGGACATAGTGAGGAGGGGAGGATAGGGAGACCCTGGGGGAATGGGATGGTTGGGATGGAGGAAGGGTGGATATGGGTTCAGGGAAGAAGTTATCTTAATTAAGGGAGCCATTTTTGGGTTGCCAAGAGACTTGACTCTAGGGGGGTTCCCAGGTGTCCATGGAGATGTGCCCACCTAGTTCTTTGGGCTGCTGAGGAAAGGGAGCATGAAGTGGCCCTATCCTATAGCCACAATGATGGATATCTAGCATATCACCAAAGGAGCTTCATCTGGCGATGGATGGAGATAGAGACAGAGACCCACAATGAAACACTGGACAGAGCACCCAAGGTTCTAATGAGGAGCATAAGGAGGGAGAACATGAGCAAGGAAGTCAGGACCATGAGAGGTGTGCCCACCCACCGAGACGGTGGGTCTGATCTAATGGGAGCTCACCAAGGCCAGCTGGACTGGGACTGAAAAAGCATAGGATCAAACTGAACTCTCTGAACATGGCGGACAATGAAGGCTGACTGAGATGCCAAGGACAATGGCACTGAGTTTTGATCCTACTGCATGTACTGGCTTTGTGGGAGACTAGTCTGTTTGGTTGTACACATTCCTGGACCTGGATGGAGAGGGGAGGACCTTGGACTTCCACAGGGTATTGAACCCTGACTGCTCTTTGGACTGGAGAGCGAGAGGGAGGCGAGTGAAGGGAGGAAGAGGGGAATGGGAGGTAGGGAGGAGGTGGAAATTAAATTAAAAAAAGAAAAAAAGAAAAAGAAAAAGAAAGATTGAATTGTTCTCTTCGATGACAGAAACCATATTACAAACTTTAACAGGGGGGTAGTAATGTTTCAAACACAATATTTATTAATCAAAATGATAAATATATTTTGAAACATTACCATTTTAATAATGTTCTTATAAACCACTCAAGACCTAAATCATTGGGCTAAATCTCAGCATTTAATGAGATGTTTTTTTTAAAAAATTCATTGTTTTAATTAGGAGTTTGTTCCTGTGTTGGTAGTGCAGTGCTCATGAAGATAAACAGATGGCACATGGTCCTCTAGACTCATATGTGTTTCTGACCTGCCTGTGTCTTCTAGGGTTTACAATCTTTTGGCTTCTTCAGGAACTGTTGCTGATCACCAAATAGGATCATTTTGCCCTGTGTGTAAAAGCACATTCTAAATTTTAAAAATAAATATAATGGGGCAGTGAAATACAAGTTTTTGCCACACAGGAACCTTTCAGTGTGTTCTGAACACAGAATGCAGAGTACATAACTAAAAATGAGAAATGGGTGTGGTAGCCGACCAGATATACAGTATAGGGAATGTGAAGAGAGAACAATAACTGGGACTCACTGAACAACCAGACTATCCAGGCATTGAGATCCAGGCCCAGTGACAGATTTTGTGTCAAAAGAAATGGTGTAGATTGTTAAAAAAATGCATCATATGTCATCACATACACACACACACACACACACACACACACACCTGGAGAGGAGTGAGAGAGAGAAAGATTGAGAGAGAGAATGAGAGAGAGTGAGAGACAGAGACTTAGAGATAGGGAGACAGAGAGATATAAAGTGAAACAAGGAGAAACACCATAATAAACAAACACACACAACACAACTTGAAACAGAAATTTGTATAAACATTTGGAAGTTCAAGGATTACTACACTCTATACCTGTAGAGAAAATCCCTAAGTGTGATATGGAGTAGCAGTTCAGACACAGAGAAGTCCAGTCTTCCATGCTTCTCTGAGTAGGTTCATCTGTGACCCAGATCTCTAAATGCTCTCATCGCCCCCTGCTGGTCATGTGTTCCCCACAGGGATGTTTGTTTCTGAGCTCACAGTAACATTCTCTCATTGTGTCTTAGCACAATAATACATGGCTGTGTTTTCAGACCTCAGACTGCTCATTTCCAGGTACAAAGTGTTCTCGGCATTGTCTCTGGAGATAGCGATCCAGCCCTCACAGTGTCAGTATACCTGGTAATACCACCACCTTGATTAATTGTTGCGAGCCATTCTAGCCCCTTCCCTGGAGCCTGTTGGACCCAGTTCATCCAGTATCTACTGGAGGAGAATCCAGGGACTGCACAGGAGAGTTTCAGGAACTTTCCAGGCTGCACTAAGCCTCCCCCAGACTCCAGCAATTGCACCTCACACTTTCCACCTGCAAACAAAGAATTCTGGTTGGAAATCTGACACAAAAGGCGTTTTTTCTCTTTCTCATGTCCACACAACACACAGTGTGTCATCTCTATGAGTTACCTTTTAAAATAAGGACAAAGGAAACCAGTATGAGACCTAAGTTTATGGTGAGTGCCCTGTGTTCAGTGCTGAGCACTGACTGGGAAGATTTGGGATTCCAGGGCTTGTCTCCTGTGCCAGAGCTTCAGGGTCAGGGCAGAGCTGGATTTTACAGGCAATCAAAGCCTTATTTACATACCTTCCTGCCCTAACAGGATCTGTAGTTGTACCTGGGCAGAATGCAGTACTCAGCACAGATATAAGACATCATAAACACTGATGACAATTGTAGAAATTGAAGCATTAACCTAGCTCTGTGTACACATTTTCCTTGTTAGGAATTCACTACACTACTTAGTTTCTTTTTCACCACAGACATAGAGAATGCTATGATTCCACACTGTCATGTTTCTTTAGGATCAATGTGAAATTTAAAACGTCTGCAAGCACCGGTGTTTCTAGATATCAGCTCTGTCGTAATGTTCTGTTAGACAAGACTTCTTCCTGAGGTGGATCTTGCATATTGTCACACTGGCCTCTAAGTAGAACTCCTTTGCTGTGACTGGAAATCTTGAAACTATTCTGAATTTTACACTGTTCTGATATGGACTGTCATACGGCCCCAGGAATCTTGCAAATGGGATGTTCCTTATTACTGTCTGTCTTCCTCTCAGTGATTGTTGTGGAGACATAGTTATATTTGAAGCACTTAGTTGTTTGTGTCCTGAAGTTCTCCCTATGGTCACTTTGTACTTCCCACTCTGCCTTTCCCACCTTGATACCAGGAAGCACATGGCTGTCTTCATGCTGTCTTAGGTCTGTTTTATTTCTGCTTGTTTATATTTTCATCATAAGAGGGAATTTAATAAGTTTTTATACAAAACGCAAAACTTTTGCATCAATTTTAATTTTCAGAAGACTTTGTTTTATTTTTCCAAATTCTCATGTGTTCTACTCTCTCAGCACTTTTCTCTCACTACACCCAACTTTTGCTTTCAAAACCCCTGTATTGCCCTGTGCTTTTCCCTCTTGTCCTTCATTTAAGATTTATTTTCCTGTCTTGCCTTCCATTCTAATTCTAAGTCTATACAATAAAAGCCATGACACCAAACACAGATAGTCTCAAACACACAATCTGGATTCTCTATAAGGCAGACACTGTCCTTCCCAATCTTCAATATGTTATGTTATATAAGATTCCAGTATCATACAAATTCTTCCAAGGCTCAGAGGAGGCTGAAGAGGATGTGGGAAGAGTGTAAGGAGTGGAGCACACGGAAGGGTGCTGTGAAATGCTGTCTTCTGGACATGACATGGATATCACAATCATGGACTCATAATGGCTGCTGTTGTCTGTATAATCCTAACTAGGGCCAAGATGAACAAAACCTGGTATAGATAGGGCTGATAATTCCTTGGTACTACGTCTTACTGAGGAGTAGTTAGAAATGTAATTTTCTGGACAAGGTATTGAATCACACATTTTGAGTAAATGGTCACTGGTATGTTTCCTATGTTGCAGTGCTTGGGATCACATACATGCTGATATGGGCAGCACTAACTGTGCTTAAATAAGTATGAGGTTGGTAGAGCTCCATGTTTGGAAGATGTGGGAAAAGTTGGATGGAAAAACTCACATGTAGAGATCCGAAACAAAAAGAATAAGGAAAACTAGTGAAAATTGTAGAGCTGAGGCTTAAAACAAAAATTCAGAAAACAAATGACTAAGCAACATTGGTAAATTTCAAATAACTTTGAAGGAAACTTTATCTGGGACCATGTTCCCATCCAACTAAGAACTGGTGGGGCCCTTCACTTATGTCTAAAAAAATCTATTTGCAGATACTCCTATATATGATTTATAAAATATATTTTCACATTTAGTTAGCTGTCACTTTACACTAAGTTGATAATATCCTATCACCAATCAGAATTAGAGGAAAAACTTATCATTCTTGCCTTACCCTTTCGGGGCTCATGCTGTAGGAAAGTTATTTTGGTGTTAGATTATACATATGTGTAATCTAATTATCCCCTTTTCTTTAAAATTATCTAGAATGAATCAGATGATATACTGAAGAGAAGTGAATTTCACACACACACACACACACACACACGGAGAGAAGCAAGAGAGAAAGTGTGTGTGTGTGTGTGAGAGAGAGAGAGAGGGAGGGAGGGAGGGAGGGAGGGAGAGAGAGAGAGAGAGAGAGAGAGAGAGAGAGAGAGAGAGAGAGAG